GATCAAAATCGAGAAGAAAATGAAGCAGAAGAAGAAGCTTAGAAAATCAAAGTAACCGAGTTCCTTCCCAAACCTTCCAACCCAAACCTTGGAAGCACCAAAAGTCACACCCACTGGACAAAATTATCAGTGACTTGAGCAAAGGAACTCAGACGAGATTGCAAATAAGGAACTTCTGTGCCTTCAATGCTTTTCTATCTACTATGGAACCTCGCAATCATAAAGAAGCCTTAGAAGACCCTGACTGGATTATAGCCATGCAAGAGGAACTCAATGAATTCGAAAGAAATTAGGTATGACATCTTGAATCTAAGCCACTGGATAAAAAGGTTATAGGTTTAAAATGGATCTTTAGAAACAAACTTGATGATTATGGTACAATTTTAAGAAATAAGGCTAGGCTGGTTGTTAAAGGTTATAATCAACAGGAAGGAATAAATTTTGAAGAAACATTTGCTCCTGTTGCTAGACTCGAGGCTATTAGAATACTAATCTCATTGCTGCTTTTATGGGTTTTAAATTGTATCAGATGGATGTAAAATGTGCATTTTTTAATGGATTATTAAAAGAAACAGTTTACATCAATCAACCCCCTGGATTCGAGAATCCAAACTTTCCTAACCATGTTTTTAAACTTGATAAGGCTCTCTATGGGGTAAAACAGGCTCTAAGAGCATGTATGAAAGATTGTCCAAGTTCCTTTTGGAAAATGATTTTAAACGAGGAAAAATTGATAAAACTTTGTTTTTAAAATCTAAAGGAACTCATTTTTAGTTGTACAGATCTATGTTGATGATATTATATTGGTGCAACTAACGAATCTTTGTGCAAGTACTTTGTGACTTGATGTGCAGTGAGTTCCAAATGAGCATGATGGGGGAACTCAATTTCTTTTTAGGACTGCATATCAAACAAACAGAATCAGGAATATACATACATCAGCAAAAATATGTCAAGGAACTCTTGAAAAAGTACAACCTTGACAGCGCAAAGACTAACCACACACCTATGGGAACTAACTCTAGATTAGACAAAGATCCCTAAGTATAGAGGTATGATTGGTTCATTGCTATACTTAACTGCAAGTAGACCTGACATTTCTTTTAGTGTTGGTCTGTGTGCTAGGGTCCAATCAAACCCAAAGAACCGCATCTAACAACCGTCAAGAGAATACTGAGATATCTCAAAGGAACTTACGACTTGAGTTTATTCTACTCAAGAAGTGACACATATGATCTTTATGGGTTTGCTTGATGCTGACTATGCTGGGGATTTGGTAAACAGAAAAAGTACATCAGATATGGTCCAATTCCTAGGTTCATGTTTAGTTTCTTGGAGTTCCAAGAAATAGAACAGTTGCTCTATCCACAACAGAAGCAGAATACGTAGCAGCCGCTGCATGTTGCTCACAACTGTTGTGGATAAAACAACAATTACGTGATTTTGGCATAGTTCTTGAATGTGTTCCTATATACTGTGATAATACTAGTGCAATTTACATATCAAAAGATTTAGTACATCACTCACGTGTAAAGCATATTCATGTAAGACATCATTTTTTAAAAGACAATGTGGTATATGGCTCAATAAAATTAGAATTTGTACAAACTGAATATCAAATTGCTGACATTGACAAAGAGTAGAGAAAAATTCGAAAAGATGCGATTGGAACTCGGAATGATAAAACTGAACTGAGCAGTTCTTCTTGGAACCCCAAGGTATGTCATAGTGAAACGACTGTGCATTGCTATATAAACCTTGGTGTGAAAACATAATCTCGAATCTTGCAATGAAAGAGTGTGCAATTCTATTGAGTATGTGATCATATGATTATGTCGATGAAGAAGACAAATTGAGCCATGTTGTTTCCAAGTTCCTTTTGCTCAAGTTACAAACCTCTGTACATGTTAACTAGTTAATTACCTGACGTAATTTCCTTGAAAATTATTTTTATATTTCTTTATTTTTATTTCATTCTTTATCGTTATTTCTTTTTCTTCCTATTCAAAAATACAAAAATATTTGTTCTTATCTTATTTTTTTTTCTTTATCTTATTTTCATCTTAATTATCTTCATTAATCCTTTAATTTTTTTTTTTTTTTTTTTCTTATTTTTGTTAAGTTATTGTTTGATATGATTGCAAAATAAATTATCACCCACAATTTATCTAAACCCACTTCTCCATAAACCCAAACCGTCACATCCCAACATTAACACTAATCCATAATTACCTTTTTCTCCCTTAACCTACATTCACTCCACCTAAATTCAACTCACCTATAACCGTCAGTTCACCAAAACCATCCATCGTTACCTCTTCACATTACCACCAAACATCCATAAAAAAACTCCCAGCATACCACCACTCCACCTACACTGTCCCTGATATACCTGCTGCTCATGTTTCTTTTGAACAGGATCCTACCTTTGTTCCAAATACACCATACCATATGGCCCCTTACTTTCTTTCGTATTTCAATGTTTTGGAATTAATCTTGCAACATCCCTCCATATATCTCTGAAACTGAAAATACTTTAAGTGAAAGGGCACTGTTTGTATTGAATTTTAAAGTAGAAAATGGTGTACCTATTTTTGTTGAAAAACCGAGGGAACAAACTGAGGGGGAATCAAATATTATTGAAAAAGATGAGGCCAAAAGTTTGGCTGATCTTTCTAAGGGGGAAGATGAGTTATCAGAGGAAGTTGATGGTGTATAAAAAAAAAAAACAAAATACAGGGAAGAAAATGAGATAAAAAGGAGGTTAAGGGAGCCTGAAGGATAGAAGGAGACAAAGGATATGATTGATTCGTCAATCTGACTCAGAGAACAAAAATCCCAATGAAATTCCTAACTACCATGTTCCTTTTCAAAAGAAACTTCTTCAAGTTCCTTATCCTGACCTACCTTGTTCCTCTCCATTTGGCTTTACTGCATTTCGTGAATATCTACCCTTGCCCAAACTTGAAAAACCTCCACAACACCCTTAGCCTAAGCCTACATCACTTATTTATATTGAACAATGATGTTTTTGTGTAAATTTTTATTTTCTGTTTTTATCTTGCACAAATTTTTTTTTTCTTTCGGTTTGTACTTAATGGAACTGGCTCTGTTTTCTTTGACATTGGCATTTTCATTTTGGTTGCACATGATCTGTGTGTGCATGCTTGATTGTTCATTAATTCAGATTTACTAATCCCTCCGTAGTTTAGTACTATATATATAGCATGTTGTTTCTATTATTTTGATAATGCCAAAAGGGGGAAAAAGAGGAACAAACTCAAAAAAGCCGGACTCAAACCGATACCATTCAAGTCTTCATCATTTAAGTAAAGAGGTATGAATTTCAAAATTTATTTATTTCATGAATGATGCAGACTTCTTTATACTTTAGTTAATTTTTTGTTTTAAATAATTTTTTTGGTTAACGGTTACTCTGATTGCATGGATGATTGTTTTTGTTTAACCGAGTTTGTTTTTTTTTTTGTCATCATCAAAAAGGGGGAATAATGTTGAATTGACTACCCTTAATATTTTGATGATTGACTTACAAAAAACAAACTCTGACTAATGATGTTTATGAGTCTTGGTTGAACAGAAAGATTTTGGGTACAAAACTACATGTTCTGGAGTAGGAACAAGAGAGTTTGGAAGACTTGACGTAAAATGCAAGATTTCAAGATATTCTCATAAACTCCAAATACTTAGTATATTCTTGTACGTACTTAAGAATCCTAGGTGTTGGAAGGAATTAATAAAGAAACTCGAAGTTCCTAAAGGAACCTGGAGTTCGACGTATGACTCAGAAAGGATTATTACGAAAAGATTTTGAAATCCTTGATTTAAGGAAAAGATAAAAGTCAGTTTGAAAGGGTTGTTTTAGAAATAAATAAATATTAAATTAATTCTTTAAATTAAAAAATAAGTTTACTAATTTTAATTTAAATAATTAATTATTTATTTTATCTTTATTGCCTTTTTAAATAACTATCTAAATAAATAATTATCTTTTAATAAAAGTTCTTTTAACTGATTTTTTAACTTGGTAAAAAAACACAGTTTGCTTAATTCAAGGAATCACGTTGAACTTGGGAGACAAGTCAGTGAAGCCATGTATCTCCACTTCCTCAACATACATCCTAACTTATCTGTTATGGTGAACGTGGGATTGAGGGGAAAGTGGGAACATGGTTGAGGCTTAACTAATCTCCCTATAAAAAGGATTCAACGATGATGTTTCAAAGTGTGGAAAACAATTTGAGTATTCTGAGCATAAGGGTTTCTAAGTGTTTTTAAAGTCGAGTTCCTTCCATCCTTAAGTTTCTTGAGTGCATTAGGGAAATCCTTATAATTACTTTGTAATTGGGATTGAGGTTTGTGAGAGTTGTAAAGTGTGAGGCTTGAGAGAGTTCTTCATACTATACTAGTGATTCGGAGTAGAATCACAAAGAGTGAGAAACTGCGATTGAGGGATCGTAGTTGGGTAACTTGAGTTCCTCACGGAACTTGAATCTAGGAAGAATATTAGCGATTGTAATTAATCTTTACATAGTGAATTATTCATTGCCTATCTCGAGTGTCTTTTCTCTTAGTAGAAAGTGTAATTCCGCAAAATTTTCTAAAGTCTACAATTCACCCCACCTCTTGTAGTAGACGTTGTTCTAACAATTGGTATTAGAGCAAGGAACTCCGAATAGCAGGAAACCGTGTCGAGTCAAGTTCCTAGAGAAACAATGTCCAAAGACAAGAAACTGGATGAAGGATACTTAACCCAACGTCCTCCACTCTTCAATAGAAAATACTGCTCATTCTGGAAGACGAAGATGGAGATCTTTATCAAGGCCGAAAAATCATCAGGTATGGCGAGTAATTAAAGTTGGTGATTACAAGGTCACTACAACTAACACAAACAATGAGGTAATTCTTGAACCCATATCTGAATTTGATAAAGTAGACTTTGAAAAAATGGAAGCCAACCTCTGTTTGATGGCAAAACATGATTACTCAAAAACTCATCAAGATGAGGTAAGCTTTATTAAACCAAATTATTTGATCATTATCAAAAGGAAAATCTATTTCTTTACCTCTAGAAACACTAGATGACTTTAAAGAAATATGCTGTAAAAAGGCCTAAAGTGAAAAAGTGTTGGAAATATGTAAAAATCATGTTAAACTTTTAAATAGCTCCCTAATCTGTTTCTCGCATAGGCTGCCTAACAAAATTCTATTTACTACTATATCTTCTCCGCAACCTTTCTGAGAAATCCTCCAAAGCATTGAGTACAACAAATGAGTGGCATCGTATAGCCTGCCATCTTGACAGAGGCCTTTCATTAGAATCCTATAACTTTCTCTGTTGGGATAACAACAATGATAGTTCATCTCTTGAAAAACCTCCAGTGCTAAATCTGAGCGTTTAATATGACATAGAGCATCCATTAGCAAATTCAATGATCCCATCCTAGACTTAACTTCCCAACCACGAGAATTTTCCTTAAAAGGACGATAGAAAGCCTCAAGTCTAGACTCCTTTACCATAATCTCTAAAAGTGTATTGAAAGATGATGTCCAAGCCACACAATTAAATTGAGGAAGGCTTCTGAATAAAGAAACGGCATCATCAAGTAATCCAGCTTTTGCATACGTCTTAACTATACCTGCAAAAACTGCATCATCCTTGCACTCACATGAGTCATCTTTCATCTGTTCAATTACTTGCTTCATTTCATCGAAACGACCTGAGCTCCCGAGTATATTAATAATGGTGGCAAAGACAACACCATTGTGACGACAATTAAGATACTTGGCTTTGGCTTCATTAAAGATCTTTAAAGCAGTAAACGAATTCTTCTGCTGTCTTATAATCTGTGCGAGCTGAGTCGGATTCAGTAACCTAGGCCACCTCACAAACATTACTCACAGACAAATTATCTATTCCGCAAGGAATATGTTTTAAGCTCAGATTTTCTGCCAAATTTACAAGAACAAACTATACATAATTTCTATAAAAAAATGTTGCAATTAAGAATGAATGGAGGAAGTATATTTCATTTCCCTAGTTGTTCCCAAAAATTTCCAATTTCATAGTTTACCCTAACATTAAAGGGTTCTGTAACACATTAGCAAGGAAATTTGACTCAACTATCAAGTCAAATTCTTCTCACTTAAGAACATGAATAGAAAAATTCGAACAACGAAATTTATCATTATAATCTTTTAGTAATTAAATTATAACCAACAACAATCTACCTAAGAAGAATCCTAAATTGACTATGATCTAGAAACAATATTTCTCATTATAATTATTCAGTGATTGTAAGCAATAGTTCAATAATTCACTTTAAAAGAACCCTAAATTGACTATAATGACAACAAAATTAACGATTAAATCTATATTTGAAATTTGATGATAACAAGAATAACTTGCCTTAGAAGCTGCTTCAATGGAGGAGAGAAAGCTCACAAGCCGCTTTTATGGAGAATTTAGAGTAAGCTTCAATGGAGCCTAATGGGGTGAGACGAAAAATGAGAGAGGCAAAACATAAACGCAGTTGGTTTAGTTCGTCGGAAAAATGGACTTGATCCGTTTTATTATTTGCTCCATATTGTTACTTGTATAGTTGTATTACTACTGTATACTTCTAGTTTTAGCGGATTTTATTACTAGTTACATTTTTTATTACTCTTTCGTCCCAATTCTCTCTTTTCTCTTTTTTCGCGACTTACTTTCTCATTTTCATTGCGTATTTATTATGTTTTTAATCTCTTTATATTTTTATTACTTGTGCTAGATTTAGAGAAGCTATTGAAAAAGTGGACGATAATTATATTTGGTCAAACATTGATTTTTGGAAAAATTTGACTGATTTGTCCCCTTTTCAAGACTTGCATGCTCGTAACTTAAATGAAGGCCCGTTTTATGGTAACCCCAATCTTGGGGTCATTAGTTGGTTAACTCTTCCTATTTATGGGCTTGACTTTGGTTGGGGGAAAGAGATTTATATGGGTCCAAGTACCCATGATTCTGATGGTGATTGTCTTATATATGCTTCCTGGACTTGTGAATGAGGGATCAGTCCAAGTTGCTATTTGCTTGCAAGTGGCCCATATGGATGTATTTAAGAAATACTTTTATGAGGACATACTATTTTTGTGATTTTCATATTAGTCCCTTTACGGTACAAATATTGCTTATGCTATACGACATTTGTCGCTATTTTGTTACCCCATTGTGCTTTTTTAGGGGTTAATTTTTTTAAACTTTGTTATTAATTCATAATCAATGATATAGGTAAATGAGATCTTATTAAATTCGTTACAATGTCAACTATAAGAATATATGTAATTTTTATAATTTTTACAATTTATTTCTATTTGTGAGGAACAAAAGTGTTCCTCATAACGAGGAACTGGGTTCTCTTTTAATGGGTAACTCCCTGTTCCTCATTGTGAGGAACAAGTTTTGTTCCTCATGGGGTATGTGTCAAGCTCTAGAGTTCCATTCATGACACATAGGCAGTCCCCAATAGTGAAAAATATCACATTATTTTCCAAAATGCCATTATGAGGATCAAAAGTGTTCCTCATAATGAGGAACTGGTGGTCCCTCTTAATAGGTAATTCCCTGTTCCTCATTCTAATGACCAAGTTTTATTCCTCATGGGGTATGTGTCAAGCTCATAAAGTTCCACTCATGACACATAGGCGGTCCCCACTAGTGAAAAAACATCACATTATCTTCCAAAATGTCATTATGAGCTCATAATGAGAAACTGGGGCTACCTCTTAATGGATAATTCCCCGTTCCTCATTTTGAGGAACAAGTTTTGTTCCTCATGGGGTATGTGTCAAGCTCATAGAGTTCTAATCATGACACATAGGCGCTCCCCACTAGTAAAAAACATCACATTATTTACCAAAATGCCATTATGAGGAACAAAAGTGGTCCTCATAATGAGGAAATGGGCTCCCTCAAAACGGGTAATTCCCTGTTCCTCATTGTAAGGAACAAGTTTTGTTCCTCATAGGGTATGTGTCAAGCTCATAGAATTCTACTCATGACACATAGGTGGTCTTCACTAGTGAAAAATATCACATTATTTTCCGAAATGCCATTATGTGGAACACTCATAATGCGGAACTGGAGCTCCCTCTTTATTAATTATTATTATACATTTTTATAACGTTTAGCCTAGTAAAAAAGGTGAAAAATAAGTATGGTCAGGTAAATTTAAGGGTGTATTCTTTATTTTCTTATGCCGGCAACACTACAAGAAATAGGCTGACTTCTTCCGACGAACGAGAAAATCCGTCGGAACTTTCGACGGAATATAAATCCGTCGGATATTTCCGACGGATTTCCTACGAAATTAAAATCCGTTGGAATATATGGGTTTTCCGACGGAATTTTCCGTCGGTCTATTAATATTCCGACGGATTTTAATTCCGTCGGAACGTTTCGACGGATTATTTCGTCGAAACAAAAACTTTCCGACGAAATATAATCCGTCGGAAATTTCCGACGGAATATTCCGTCGGAAAATTACTATTCCGACGGAATATTCCGTCGGAACATATTTAAATAATAATATAAAAGAAAAACCCTAACCCCACCCATCTATCTCTTCGCCTCCTCTCCTTTTTTTTTTGACAGCCACTTTTCCTTATCTCTCCTCTCTTCTTCTCTTTCTCTCTCCTCTCATTCTCCTTCTCCTATCATTCTCCTTCTCCTCCTTCTCTCCTCTTCTTCCTCATTCCTTTCTCCTTCTCCTCTTTCTCCTTTCTTTGTATTCATCAACATCAACAACAACAACGAATCGCAACAACAACGAACAACCGGAACAACAACGAACAACATCAACAACGAACCGCAACAACAACAACCGGAACAAAAACCGCCTCTTCTACCGTCGCTCAACAACAACAACCACCGACGCTCAACAACACCTAGAAGGTCGGAAATATATGTAGATCTAGGTTTATTTTTTTACAAATTTATGATTTTTATGATGAAATTGTAATTTAAGTTTGTATTTTTTCGGACAATATAATATATAAATTGTTTATTTCGATTTAGTAGTTTTATTCCGATTTGGTTGTCTTGATTTTGTTTGATTGGTTTATGTGGTTTCGATTATTTTTTTTTTCTGTTTTGTTTTTTAGTTTTTGGTGTCGATTCTTCGTGGTTTTTGTGGGTTGTAGGGGTGGCGAGGTGAAGATATGGTGGTTGTGGGGGTGGTGAGGTGGAGATATGGTGGTTGTGGGTGGCGAGGTGGAGAAAGGGTGGGTGTGGGTGGTGTAGGGTCTGTGGGGTTATTTGGTGGTTCTGGGTTGGGTTTGGGGGGTTTGGGTGGTGGGGCAGGGTCAGGGTTGGTGGATCTGGGGCGGGTGGTCTGGGTAGGGTGGCGTGGGGTGGTATGGGCAGGGTAGCATGGGGTGGTCTGGGCAGGGGTACGGTGGTAGGGGTGGTGGTGGGGTTTTTTTTTTATATTTTTAAAATCCTTTTTCCGACGAAATTTCCGTCGGAAGTTTCCGATGGATTTTTACTCCGTCAGAAATTTCCGCCGGACTTTCCGGTGACCGGAATTCCTCATCCGACGACAAAATTCCGTCGTAATTCCGCCGGAAAACACTGTTCCGACGGAATTTACGACGGAAAATGCCTTTTTCCCTACCAAAGTTTTCCGACAACCCTTTCCGACGGAAATTCCGTCGGAAACGGCCATTTCCGACGGATTTTAGGGTGTTTCCGACGGAATTGTGCCGTTAGAAATGGCCTATTTTATAGTAGTGCAAATTTATGGAACTAATACTGTGATATGTTGTCCGCATGCTCGTACAACGCCTTCGCGTAGCTGCGTGCTTACGAGCGTGCCTTCGCATGGCAGCACTAAGCACAACAAGCTAGGATCCTCGCCCAGCAGCAAGAGCAAGCTAGGAGTCTCACCTAGCACAGCAGCATGTGTGGCTCGCTAGTAGCACGCATGCGCTGGCTGGGGGCTGATGCGTGCTAGCTGTACGTGCTGGCAGTGCATACTGGCCAACAAGGCTGGCAGCCAGCTCACCCCTTGCTTGAGGTCGGTTTTGAGGAGAGTGAGGACCAAGGCTTAGAGTCATGCCTTGGTGAGCAAGGCAATGGTCCCTACATGGGATATAGTCCTCACCTAACCCATTCTCTCCTCTTGCCACTTGTTGCTTTGTGATTGCATTTGTTTTATAATTTATTTTGGAATTAACTAAATTGGTGGAAATGCACAAAATTCCCACATTGATCAAGAGTGGGAGTTCAAGGGTTCATTTCCCTATAAATACCAAGGTTTTGGCATTTGGGAAGAACACTTGAGTAGAACTTAATGAGGCATCTCTCATTAGGTGAGAAAACCTCTAAGTACGTAAAAGTCCAGTTTTTATTGGTCAAGTCCCGACTAACCTTCGGGACTTGGACTGTTCGGGTCGGGTTAGTGGGTACGAGCCGTTAGAGGCGGTCACGATTATGACGCTTGAGCTTTCAAAGTAAGAGCTCGATTTGTGAGCGAAGCACGCTACGGGGGTGTAACTTCTTCTCCCTTTCTCTTAATTCTTGCTTAATTATGTTTATGCTTGCTTTAACTACATTAGTTATAGGGGCGGGTCTTGGGAGTTTCATTTCGCGTAGTGAGGGTCACTACGAAACCCTTCAGCGGTATCGGAGCCGTGCTCCTTTTAATTATTGCAATATTTATTAATTAAGGTGTTTTAAAATAGATTTAATTTCTGGTTTTGTTTTTCTAATTAGATTAGAAGTGCATTTTAAAAATAGTTTTAATCTCGTATTTTTTCGATTTTTTTGGCTAAGAACTCGGATTATAGCTCAAAAAGTGTTTTTTGAGTGGAATCGACGTTCTAAATCAGTTTCAACCCTCTTTGAAAACTGTCCAAAAACCGAATTCGAACCAGAAATCCATTT